AATATTCACTAAGATTTATACTGTATGGCAAAACTAAATGATGTGTGGTCGTATCCTAAGTTTGCTCTGTTCTGCATTACTCATTTCAGTACAGCAGACATAAAAGAAATTTGGTTGTCTGTGTGTGTATAACTCTACATGTACATAAATGGGCACTTTGTAACTGCAGGTGATGCAAGTTTTCTGACCTCTAAGAAATGCCCTCACTCGTGTCTTACCTGACTCTTTTGCAGGTTAGCTTCTTCTAACAGCTGTACGCAATCTTGGACTCTTGCAACTGCTTCATACTTTTCCCTTTCTAAATTAGCACACTTTGTGTGAAGCATTCTGATTTGTTTCTCCAGGGCTGTTCTTTCTGTTCTCATTTGTTCACCATCTTGGACACTAACATGTAATCTGAAACAAAGGAGTAATTTTACTCATTTAACCATACAAAGCTGAACTAAAGAACTATACTTCTTTCAAACTAAGCTCACAGAAAGCAAGGTCCCAGAGCTGTGTTCCCATTTGGCTTTTTTGTTTTTGGACATATCCCATTAGTAACATCCAACAACATGTCTTTACCTTGTTTCTAATTGTTTTATACTAGACTGCAATTGTTGCAGGAGTTTGTCAGATGCTGCTTCTCTTTGCTGGGCAGATACCACATCTTCTTCCTAGAAAGAACATACATGTTTTCCAGGCAACATCCAAGTTCCATTTATAAAAACAAAGATATATAAAATTTTATATTTTATTAAACTTAGTTTATAAATTAGAGAACAACTCAAATTAATTTACCATCAGCAATTAGTTAACTGTCTAGTCATTCAGTTGCAACAGAAAATTACCCCTTGCTCTAGAATACCTTTCTCTCCATTTGACTTGGAAGAGTCTTTGTCAATCTGATCATTTCATCAACCTTAGCACAAATTAATGCAAACTGGAGCACAACCAAGTCATGAAGGAAACTAGGAAACGTGTCTTACTTCTCAGAATTGACTTCAAGAAAAATTTCTTACAAGAATAAAAATTACTATTTAACAGCATAAAAAGCAAGAGTAACTTATGCCTATGTGAAAACGTTGATCAACATACACAGAGTGCATGTGAACACAAGACTTGATCTGTTTTGGTATCCTGTTGGCCTGCAACAATTTCAATGCTTCTTGTGCAAGCAGCTTTAAAAATGTGCAGACAAATGCGCTCTTCTAAAGACAGCAGCACACATCAGCAACTTGTGTGTGATATCAGAGATGGAAAATACTTCATTTTCTAATACCTGGAATGCCACCTGAATTTTTGTCGTGGTTTTTTTTTTCCTATCACGCTGTCCTTCCCCAAGATACACTTAGCTAAGGCAACTAAGGTTACAAAAAATTCCCCCCTCAGAAATGCATCTTCAGTGACAACTCTGCACTTATAAACAGATCCCAGTCCTCAACTTACTGTACAGAAGAAACAAAAATAAACATGAAGACACAAAGCTTCTCTTAACTCTAACCTCCACGTAGCCTACGGTTTAGAACAGGAGTTTTGAGTGTTGAAATTTCAACTACTTTGAACGTTCACATTTCAAAACTGTGAAGAGTATCCAATATAATTGGATTTTATACAAATTGTATTCCAACAAACAACCTTCTGTTTTGCTGTGGTATCGAACACTT